TAAACGATATAATACATTAAATTTAGATTAAATAATTTATATGTGCATGCATGTAGTAGTTTTACAAAGAACAGTAACTTTAATGTTATCTTGAAATACTTACATGAAAAATTGTGATCCATTGGTATCTTTACCACGATTTGCCATTGATAGTAAGAATGACTTGTTATGTTTCATAATAAAGTTTTCATCTATAAATAAAATTTGATGCTTCTTAAGAAGACAAAAAAATATGAATGTCAATTATAAATTTCTCATTTAAATCAATATTGAATTAGTCATACAATATTGGAATCTTATATATTTACCTGCAAATATACCACCATAAATGGATTCGCCACCTGTCCCATTACCTATTGAGAAATCTCCTCCTTGAATCATAAAATCTTTAACAACCCTATGAAAAACAATGCCTTTATAATGCAATGGTTTGCCTGTTGTTTTTCCCAATCCCTTTTCTCCAGTACATAGTGCACGGAAGTTCTCACACGTTATGGGGCAGATGTCCGAAAATAATTCAAAGACTATTCTGCCCATAGGCAGTCCACCAACTTCAATGTCGAAAAATACTCTTGTGTTAACATTAACCATGATGAAAGAACTTGTAGATTAACTAAAAGATAAAAAAATCAATTAATATAAAAAATCAACATAAAATTATGCAAATAGTTCAAAATATAATGTATACATGAAGAAATAAATAATTTTAAATATAAAATCGTTCATCAATAATCTAGATATGTACAATGAGAGATAAAAATATATATGTAAATGTACATGTTAGCAAGACTCTATTATTATACTATACTCTACACCTATATTAAAAAATATAATATTCAGAATGTAAGATGGATAAAATGAAGCGACGTTTGAATAAAATTATGCAAAGCACAAGTGACACTATCGATATATTAGGACAAAGTCATAATTATCGATAAGTTTGTTCTTTGTAGCTGAAGAATAAATTTTTTGTACATAAAATAAATTAGATATATACTTAAAGCTTGATAAAAGACAATTTCAGTGTTGTCCAGTGCAGTGATAAAGAACAGGCCTAATGAATCATGTATATTTTAATTAACGTGCAAATTGCCTTATTCGGGGGTGACTTTGCAATTTTATTTGGCGAATGGCGTCTTGTGCGCATTCACACGTGTCGCTTCAGATAGAAACGCAAAGCCGAGACTCGAAGGGAGACGAAGGTAACTATCGATCACACACGCGTCCATGGAAATTGTGGAAAAAAAATTACATGAAAAGATTAAAAATATATCTTTTGGAGGAACAGCTGCACGTTTTACCTCTAGGGAATATACGGAGATCGTTTGAACACTAAACGACGTTACGTATTTACAGAATGTTCGACTGTATTCTGATGTCAATTAATCAGCTATCCAAATACACGCGACTCTCTTGAGATTCTCCCTTTTTCTCTTGAGTTAGCTCTTGTCTTTGATCCAGAAACAATACGATCACCAAGTTTGAAATGTCGGCGATTACAAACGTCTACCACAAACTTCCATATAATGGGTTTGTTCGCGTTGCTTGCACTTTCCGTACTTTTGCACTAAGTGTACACTATTTCGTTCGAGTTACAGGAAATGATGTAATAAACTCTAGGTGCGTTCCTTTATTCATCCGGATACTGTCAGTACTACTAATAGCGTTCCGATATAGGCTGCGTTCCGATATTCACTACCAGTACTAAAAATATATAGTTTATGTCACGTATATTATAGATTTTCAGTACTGGCAATGAATATCGGAACGCAGCCATAGAGAGTAGTGCATTCCGAAAGTACTGCCTTGAATTCTATTGACGTCATTGATTTTGACGTACTTTCTGTTGCGGCTACTGCAACCAGTGAGGTGCTTTCCAATAACAACACCATGTAACACAGTGTCTATACTGGTGCTTTCCATCTATGACACAGAGAGTCACAGAACGACACTGTGAAACACAGCTCGATCCTAAAGCCAGCGGTACACGATGCTTTTTTTCCTGCTGATTTGCTAGCTGGATTTGCAGCTCGTGGAGCTCTTGTCTCTGATTGGTATATTCTTTTGGATCTAAAAAAATATACCAATCGAAGACAAGAGTTCAACAAGCATGCGAATCCAGCTAGCAAATCAGCAAGAAAAAAGCATCGTGTGCCGTTGGCTTTAATTCCGAACTGCATTATGTCATAGCATGAGCACTCGGAGAATAAAGGAACGTACCCTATGGATACCGTTAAGGGCTTACTACAAATGCTTTGAAGCATTTTTTGATTGGTGCATTAGTAAAATTCTTTGTTTTGATTGAACTGGAATCAAACGCTTCGAAGCATTTGTAGTGTTACATTGACCTCTGTTCGATTTACAGGTGCAATCGCACTTTTCATAACACCTCATGCACTTGGTAATGAGGGCTGCATTCCGATATTCTATAGTATACTGGAATGAGCCTTCAAGGAATGGAGATGTCTCACTTATTAAAAAAAGACAACGTGCGAATTAGTATCGCTCTCTTTGTCAAGAGAATCTCGGATTGGTTATTCTCCTACCACACCAATAAGTACACTGTAGAAAAAAGATAAAGATCCCAACTTTAGTATGCCCGTCCTTTTCTCCGCTGGATCGAGGTTTTCTATAGTTTAGGGAAGGCTCACTCCAGTATACTATAGAACTCAATGGACTTATTTACTGCCGATACTCAAAATATATAGTTCAGGTCATGTATATTATAGTTTTTCAGTACTTATAGTGAATATCGAAACGCAGCCGAGGAAGAACAAAGATGCAGGAGCAGAAAGATGTGAAAATAAAGTCTTCAGATTAGAATTATCACGAATTCGAACATTCGAAAAAAGTTTGAACTCAACTTTTTATATTCTTGTTGTTTTTTTTACAGTGATATTGTTTAGAGCTTCAGAATTAGACATTATACAAGTTTTTTAATTCATCATATTGATGAATTAAATTTATTAATTCATCAATTTTCCATTAATATATTTATTTTTAAAATCTATTTTTTCTTAAGATTTAATTAATTTGTTATATTTTTTGCCTTATAATTATAATACTGTTATTATGATACTGTTTTAGCCACTATAGTGATTTCTTATCCTATAAAGTGCTATGTTAATTATTTTTGTATATTTTTTAAAATAAATTAGATATAATTGAGGCTCGAAGGATAATAAATCAGTGAATAATAGCGTTTTCCCTTGAAACTGCACTATCGCCCACTAGTGCAACATTCGGAGTGTAGCGTGTTTCCATGGCTGATGGCGGGCAAACTTATTCGGTAGTTCACTGTCTATTGTAGAGGACATTGTTGAAGAGAAAATTATAACTAACACATATATATAACATTGTTTTTGTTGGGTTAATATAAATGTTAGTTGTAATTTTCCACTTAATAATGTAACTCGATTGTTATATAACGCATGTATTAACAGTTACATTGTTAAGTGAGAAATTACAATTAACATTTATATTACATGTAACTTCTGTGTTTGCTGAATCTACATGCACGCATGCACACACAAAGTAATATATAGTGGCGTCTGGTATTGGAGGAGCGTTGTTCACGATATGAAGAATTTTGATGACGGAAAAAAGATGTTGGCCGCGGTGGGATTCGAATCTAGGACCCTCAGGTGTATGAGTCTCGAGCGCTACCACTGCGCCATGCGGGCGATGCTTTTCGTCTATGTTTTGCTAGGTATTAGTTGTGTGAGCGGGGGACCGCCACAATATTGCATACTACATATACTATTAAGTAATATATTTGTTTAAAAGGATAAATAAAACAACGATTTTAAAAAGGTGGTTATTATTATATCTATATTATTATATCTATATATGAGTATAAACTTAAACTATCTAATTAGAAACTAATAATATGGACAATTGAAAGAATATTAATAAAGATTACAATGGCTCTCATTAATGTTGATCAACATTTTCTCCATTTCATTTAGCATGTATATTTTTTGAAAAAATAAAAGAAAATTTACACTAAATTCGATCAATTTTAATTATTTTTAAATGTATTCCATCTTTTGGTGCTAATAAAAAGGCCTTAGGATTATTTACATAATGCTTCTGAGTTTTCTCACAAGTTTCAATTTTATAATTTCGTAATATTTTTATAAGCCCGATTTTGGTTTGATAAACAGCGAAGCGAGAACCTGAAAAGAAGAAAACGATCATTATATAAATCAGATCAAGATTTAAATTTGAAAATAGTTTGGCTAAAAATATAGCGAAAAAAATAATAAATGATATTTTAATTTATTTCACTGTACCAATGCAATTCCTCGGTCCATCGCCGAAAGGTAAGTAGACCATCGAGTGTCTACTTTCCATAGCTTCATCATCAAATCTTTCTGGATCGAAGACATCAGGGTCTGGATAAATATTCGGATCTCGTTGAATTGCATAAATAGGAATCCATATCCTTGTGCCTTTTGGTATACTAATTTTAGTATCCTCAAAAGTATAATTTGATGTAGATTCTCTCATAAGAATTGTCACTGGTGGATATTTTCGTAAAGTTTCTGTGTGAATTAAAAATAATGTTAAATTAGATAATAATATAATAGTATAATAGTATTGTATTAATTTTTGCTCTTATGTTAAAAAAGATAAATAGCGCGCGTCCAGCGCGCATTTGTAATGTCTAGTATTATATAAATTATATAAAAATATATTTATGTCTATTGAAAAATTATGATTAAATTCAAGCTTACTAGCAATGATATTATATTATAATATTACTGAAAGAAGACTCAATAACATATTTTATTTTTGTACCTTTAAACACTTTATCTAAATAATCCAATTGTTTGACATTGTCATATGTTAAATTTCCACCATGTTTCACATAGCTTTCGTCAATTTCTGCACGTAATTTGACTTGTACTTTCGGATTTACTGCTAACTCATAGAGCGCATTACTCATAGTTGTTGATGAAGTTTCAAAGCCGGCAAGGAAAAATACAAATGCTTGAGAAGCTATCAAACTATCCGTCAACTCTGTAATATTATTTTCTTTTTACTATAAACAATTTAATTTGCTCTCCAATTAATAAATCAAATTTATTAATTATATTTAATTATAATTATATATAAAAATGAATTAATTATATTTGAATAAATAAATATATATAAGCCAAAATGTTCAAACAAGGAATAGATAAATCAAGATATTACTTGTTTATGCAAAACTTTTAGGCTTAATTAACATTTTTAATTTATGAAATAATTCAAGAAACATTTATCATCTGCGTGTTGTTTACTTATGGTTTTTCAATTGTATTCAAACCATTTTATAGTTACAATACAATCATAATGTATTAAAATTTAATAAAATAATAAATTTAATAAAAGCAAAAGTTAACTTTATCTTCTTATTTAAAAAATTATTTCATGTATTTGTAAATTTGCATCGTCATTTAGAAAATTTTTTTTATATCAAAAAGGAACAAACGATAATACTTACTGATATCACCTAATTTATCCGGATTCTTTTTTAATTCACGTAGTATATCAATGAAATCGTGCCTAGTAATATTATGCGTATTTCTGTAATCTATGCTCTCCATAATAACACGTATAAAGAATTTGGTAATTTCTGATTGTGGCAGAATGTAACCGAGTATGCTGTATAGCCCCGGCATCATTTGCCTAAATCTGGCTCGCATGACATTTGACCAGCTCGGTGTAAATATCTTTCTGCCCATCTTACGAAATTCGCCGTCTTCATCCGACATTGAATTCATTTCAATGCCAAAAGCGCAGCTACCGATAACGTCCGTCGTATATTTAGCTGTCAATTCGCGACATTCAATGGGTTCATTTTTACTTGCGACTTTTTCTGTATATTGAACAAGATGATCAGCGCATTTGGATATTAAAGAGAACATCTCCTTCAATTTACCAGATGTAAAAACAGGCGACAATCTTATTCTTAATGGTCGCCATCTCTTTGGCTCCAAAGAGAAAAGATGTTGCGATAGCGGGTCGGCCTACGATATAACAAAATATAACAAAATCAAAATTGTGATCAAGTAAATTTAACTGAAGGAGAATATTCAAGTTATAGAAACTTATATTTTTTAGAAAATCTTATAATCTTTTTATTGCACTTTATTATTCAAAAAATATAGAAGCTTGCAAAATCCAAGATTAAATAAGTTATTCTTTACTTAAGTTAAATTATAGTTAATAACTTAATAAAATTAATTAAATTAAAATTAAGTTAAAATTAAATTAACATAAGTTAATAATTTAAAAATGAATTTTGTAAAAAATATATATATATATATATGAAACTATAAAACGTCGTATTTTTTAAAAATTAGATTGCTTTAAACGATAAAACAATTATGAAATGATACAAAAAATTTTAATTTAGAAATATGTTAAAAAATTAAAGTTAATGTTTTGTAAAGTAATTAGTTAAAAGTTAACACATTTAAAATTAATTAAGTTATCTTGGTAGAAATTTTATTGAAATTCTCTCTCAATTTTATTGTTATTTCGTTAATATATGCAGTAAATTTCATAAAACATAATATTTCAAAAGAATTTAACAATATTCTTTTCTTTATGTTCAATTGTGTATTCAATTTTCTTTATGTTTTATGACATTACATTGAATTTCATAAGGATAAGTATAACAATATTTTCTAAAATCGATGAGAAATGAAATGCAAGTTATTGAAAAATTATTGAATATATTTCAATTTCTTCCAAAACAAATTTTCTTATGAAATTTAATATAATATTATGAAATGCAAGGAAAATTAATATATATTATTGAAAAATAATAATAAAATAAAGTCAATTGAGAAAAAATTTTAGCATAAAATATTTCGTCACAATAAATTAAAAATTATTAACCTTTTAACTTTGATACTTGTAACTAATTAATTAGTTATTACCCAACCTTAATAAAATTCTTAAAAAAAACGTCTCATTTATATTTCAGAAAAACTTGTAAAAGAAACTTTCCAGCACAAGATACAAATCAATACAAATCAATACAAAAATATCCTTTTTCAATATTTAATGATAGACAGAAAAACATAATACCAACTTCAGAGTTGGTTTATATTTCTTGCTCCTATTTCTTGTTCCTTTTTAAAGTAAGCATGATAATGTCCTCACCTTGTCAAAAGTAGGTATTCCTCTACTAGCAAATGTAGGAAAGTCTTTAATGAGGACATCTTTAATTAAATTTGGATCTTTTATTACAAGGATAGGTGTCTTCCTAGAGTATATCCCAACCATTGGTTCGTCTTTGTAATCGTTATATACTTTCAGCGAATAATCACCTATGGATAGCTTTATAAGCATAATATCTTTAAAATTACCGAATCCCGGTATCGGTCGTGGACCAGGAACGCCACGCGATTTCCAAAAGTCGTAGGATGATGTAAGGAAATAATAAAGACCGAGAATTATAACGGCAATGCCGCATAATATCTCGAAGAGTTCCATTATTCAATAATCAAATAATCCTGAAAAAACAAGAAAAACAACATTCTAAAATAAAATTTTGTCTTAGAAAAATGATAAAATTTGATAAAAGATATCTTTAATAAAATATCAATTAAAAGAGAGAGATTTATATGTAGAAATATAAATTTAAACTAGATTTCATCAAATTTCGATTTCATCAATACCGATCAAAAAAATTATTCTTACATAAATTTAATATGTTATAATGCAAAGATAAATATTATTTATTAATAAAAATAAATAATTATTATTTTTGCATATTATAATAAATATATGTTTAACTAAGTAGTGTGTGTGTGTGTGTGTGTGTGTGTGTGTGTGTGTTGTGTGTGTGTGTTAAATCAGTGAGTGATTATATTATTGAAAGTGAGTATACTAGACATAAGATACGTAATATATTTATTTGAGAAAAAGTGTCAAACAAATTTTATGTTTGCATAAATCCACAAGACAATTGTTATCGAAGTGATATTATACAAATCATCTTCCGACTTAAAACCTACTGTAAGTTTTAATTTATCGTCGGCTAAATAAATACAATTTTTAATAAATTCATTTGGATTCTCACGATTACTGTCATGTCAGTTGTTTAAACTTAAACTGAGAAAAATAATTTTTCTCCAATAATTTTTATCCCATAAAATATTAATCATGGAGCTCTAGATAAAACGATCTTGATATTTCATGCGAGTATTATTGGAGTAAACAAGTAAAAGAAACAGACAATGAAAGATCGTTCCTCCACTTTAGCAAACTGCAGTTTGCAAGAAGAATGTTTTCAATCTCGAGCGGTATATCTACCAACGAAGTGAAGATAAGATAGCAAAGGCGTATATAATAATAGATATGGATACAATAGTGTTGTTTTGATGATGTTTATCCGTGTACAATCAAGAAGAAAAAAAACTATATGTAATTACACGCATAA